GGGAAAGAGGAAGGAAAGTATCCCCAGGAGACTCAATACTTCAGAGACAATTATAGAAAATCATTATTTTGAGTCTACTGGCCTGGCTATTTAAAAACATCTCAAAAGAAAGAAAAGACAAAGATTAGAAAGAAAGTAAAGCTGTCTTTTTTCATGGGTGACATGATTGTCTACAACATGGAAAGCAAATTACACCTCAGGCCCTACTGCCTGTTTTTGTACAGTGTGTAGGCTAAAAATGGGCTTTACAATATTAAACGGTTGAAAAAATTCTTGAATAATATCTCACAATGTGTGAAAATTATATGACTTCAAATTTCAGTGACTATCAATAAAGTTTTATTGGAACACAGCCCTGCTCATTCATGTTTGTATTGTGTACGGACACTTTCACTTTACAAAGCCAGAAGTGAGGAGCTGTGATGAAGACCACATGGTCCACAAAGCTTGAAACATTTATTATCTTGCTCTTCACAGAAAAGTTGCCCAAGCCCCGTACCTACAACAATCCTAAATGATCTATTTAAAAATTTTAGAACCAATAATTAAGTTATCAAGGTCACAGGAAACAAGGTCAGCAAAGAAAACTTATTTCTACAAACTAACAGCAACTGGAAACTGAAAAGAAAGAACAATATTATTTTCAAAACCATCAAAAAACATGAACTATTTGGGAGGAACTTAATAAAACATGTACACGAGAGACCTCTAGACTGCAGTTATGAAGCATACTGAGAGAAGTTAAAGACCTAAATCAGAGAAAGGCTACGCTGTATTCACGCACTGGAAGATTCAATACCATAAACATCAACTCTCTCCCAAACTGACCATGATTCAACACAAACCTAATCAACATCCTGTGAGAGACTTCCCTGGTGGTGCGGTGGTTAAGAATCTGCCTGCCAATGCAGGGGACACAGGTTTGATCCCTGGTCCGGGAAGATCCCACATGCCGTGGAGCAACTAAGCCCGTGTGCCACAACTACTGAGCCTGCGTGCCACACCTGCTGAAGCCTGCACACCTTAGAGCCTGTGCTCGGCAAGAAGAGATGCTACTGCGCAACTAAGCCGTGTGCCACAACTACTGAGCCTGCGTGCCACACCTGCTGAAGCCTGCACACCTTAGAGCCTGTGCTCGGCAAGAAGAGATGCTACTGCAATGAGAAGCCCGCGCACCGCAATGAAGAGTAGCCCCCGCTTGCCGCAACTGGAGAGAGCCCGCGCGCTGCAACAAAGACCCAATGCAGCTAAAGAAAAACAAAAAACAAAAAAAACCCAAAACAGATCGTAGGCCTAAATATAAGAGCTAAAACTATACAACTCCTAAAAAAACACATAAGAAAAAATGTTTGAGACCATGGTTTAACGGAAATTTTCCTGGGATACAAAAAGCATAAACCAGAAAGGAAAAAAATTGATAAACTGGATTTCATCGACATTAACAACTTCTGCTCTTTCAAAGATATTTCATCAGGAAATGAAAAGATAAACAACAGGCTGAAAAAAAATATTTGCAAAACACTTATCTCATAAAGGACTTGTATGCAGAATGTAAAAAGAACTCCTAAAAGCTCTGATAAAACAAAACCCAATGAAAAAGTGGGCAGAATTCCTGGACACTTCCTCCAAAGAAGATAAGAAATGAAAAGATAGTAATCATTAATCATCAGTGAAATGCAAATTAAAACTACAGTAAATCCACTAGAGTAACTAAAATTAAAAAGACTGGCAATAACCAAGTTTTGGTAAGCATGTGAAGCAACTGAAATTCACATACTACATTACTGGTGGGAAGGAAAAATGGGGCAGTTACTCTGGAAAACGGTTTGGTGTCTCATATAAAGTCAAAACGTACCTTACCAAAAGACTTAGCCATTCAACCCTGAAGTATTTCATATTTTACCCAAGAGAAATGAAAACATATGTCTACACGAAGACTTGTACACAAATGTTCACAGCAGCATTACTCCTAAGAGCTAAGAAAGTGGAAATACCTCAAATGTGCATCAACTGATGGTTAGGTAAACATATGATGGTATGTCCACGTAATGGACTATTACTGTTATTCAGCAATAAAAGGAAACAAACTGATACACGCAACAACATGAATTAGCATTACACTAAGTGAAAGCAGAGTAACACAAATGGCTACGTACTATATGACTCCATTTATTATGATACTGTACAAAGACAAAACTGGAGGGACAGAATACAGATCAATGGTTGCCAGGGATTGGGGATGAAGGCTGGGGACTGACTGCAAAACGGTCTAAGACAACTTTCTGTGGTGATGGGATTTGTTCTTTATCTTGATGTGGTTGTGGTTATAGACTGTATACATTTGTCAACACTTAGAAATGTGTATCGTAAAAGTGTGCATTTATGATATATGAGTTGTATCTCAGTAAACCTGATTTTTTTAAAAATGCAGTTCAAACATTTTGAAAGTTATGTTTAAAACCTGTCACTTTATCAACCTAAAGATTACACAAACACTTGCTCTTCTGCCAGGAAAAAAAAAAAACCCTTTTATTATGCAATTTAACCTTGAAAAATGGAGAACTTAGAACAAATCATTCAAGAGAAAACAGAGTACATCTCAAGTTTTGAGATAAATTTCCCAATTGTCTTTTACAATTTCACAGGACCAAGAAACTCTAGTGACATCTTATCAACAGCACAAGTCAACACAGCCTCATAAACTCACCTCATTTTCATACTGAATTTCTAACATGGCCCGTGAGCTGCCAAGATCCTGCATCACAGACTCTGCTTGTTTCAGCAGCTCCTCTCTGTTCACAGTACGCTGCAAAGAAAAGTACAAATGTGAGGAAACTTTGATAAACAGGTGGCATTTCTCTCAGTGCAAAAAAAAAAAAAAAAAAAAAAAAAAAAGGAAAAGGACCTTGAGTCTTGAGTCTCTAGGGACAGCAAATAATGGGAAGGCAAATATATAGGAAACTAATGGCAGATAAAAGCTGGTTAGTAAAGTTTGTTATGCAGATTTCTGTGGTGCAAAAAAAAAAAAAAAAAAAAAAATCAATTCAATCGTTAAAAATTATTTCTTAAAAAAAAAGCACACCTCAGAAGGGGTCTTAAGACATAGCTGCAGTGCTGTAGACATCAACAGCATCCTGCTATACATGAAGAAAAGCTAGATGTAAGTGTAGTTATTAGCTTGAGCCCATGGCAAATTCAGAAAATTCAAGTTGTTGAAGAAAGGATCTCTGTAACCTTCTCAAACATCAATGCAATTCAGGGCTGTGGCTCCATGAAATCTCACTGTGTACATTTATAGTTTGGTGATGGAGAAATAGGTGTGGAGGTGACAGGTGAGCTGGAAACCTACTGGCCTTGACCAGCAGAGATCCTACAAGTACCACTGCAAATATCTATTAATGAGATGCATGGGGATGAGAAAGGTCTTGATAGATTTCCAAATTCTACCTACACCTTGTTTATGGAATCCTAACGATACAAATAAAGATAGGATTTAAGAACAACGTTTTTTTGTTTTGCTTCTCATTCCTCCCACTCCCCCTTTTTAAGCCATTACTAATGGCTTTTGTGAGACTTCTGGAGATAGAAGTTTGTAGGAAGACAGACTTGAATAAGAATCCTCAGCAAGAAAAAGGGAGATGAACAAAGAAGTCCTAAGTAAAAGGCAATGCAGTGCGAGAAGTGCAGGACTAGTCTCAGATGTAAATGGCCCGGGGCTGTGTGGTTTAGAGTTATCACCATGGGGCCAGGATTAGAAGCACAAGAAGATGCAGTCAGCAATACAAGGCTGACGGGTATAGAGACATGAACTATATCAAGGATTTTGTTTGTCTCTTCTAATTGGAGTGATTTGCTAAGAGAATGATGTGGATTTGATTAATTCTACCTACTGCATAAAGGGATCAATTATAAAAGGGAGATATGGTTAGAGTTCTTAATTTAGAAAGAAAAGAAGGAGGTCTCAGTGAAAGAAGAGAAGATTCTTCCTTGGCACAAGAGTTATGGAGACTAAAAGAGAAAAACAACTGTAGAAATCATTACAGAAACCAGGGTGGGAGGGAAGGACTCTTACTGGAGAATAAAGAAGAATCCCAAGAGATCCCAAGAGACTGATAGGAAAATATGGCTAACACATATGATAAGAAGGTAAGCAAAGAGATAACTGCGACTAAGATAAGCCTCTAAACCAATAGGGATAGTTAGATGCATCACATTTCTAGTTTTCCCATTATCAGTATGACTTATCTTTAAATATTTTCGGGAGAAACTTACTTTTTTTCTATCCAATCTAGGTGCAACTCTGCTATCTTGAGAATCAGACTGGTTGATTTCTGGGTTGGTATCAAGTAATCTTTGCATTGCTCGGTCCCGATCAAATGCAGTTACATAAAAAAGCATTTGCCGGGTATCAAAAGGGAAGAAAAACGGGCTGTAAAAAGATGCGATATAAATTTATTAACTGAATTAGAATCAAAAACCATTAAAAAACCCTGGCTTAGAAACAACTTTTGATATGATACAGATTAATAATTATAATGTAACCAATAAAAATGGTCTACTCAACTAATTTTGAAGAATTTTCATAATTCTTGCATGAAATTTCTGAATGATCAAGTAATAATGCATTAAGTAGCCATTCACTATGAAATCTGAAATTCAACCATTAAAATCAAGCCCATCCAAGATCATCTTTAATCTCCCAATGACCTTCAGTAAGCATAACATGATTAGTGAAGGTGAAATTTTAAAATATAATCACCACCTCACCAGGTTGCCAACCCATCCCATTCCACATACACACGAGTAATGATTTCACTAAGTTCATGATTTTCCTCTTGGCTTTGGCATTTGTTAAGTCACTCAAAACTGCCAAAAGGCAGCTGCTTATTTTTAAAGAATGAACTCTGCAGTACCAAGGCCCTGCTGCCTCTTGACATGTGATTTTGGCAGTTCTTGACACAGAACTGTCCAGAGCATTTCCTATGGTTATCTAAGCATTCAGCATCTATTCTGTACAATATGAGTAGCCACGCAAGGATGTGGGTAGTGTGACTAAAAAACTCCCATTAAAAATTTTTCATTTTAATTCATCTAAATGTAAATACAGCTACATGAGGCTGGTGGCTCCCGTATCCATCAGTGCAGTCCTATAGTCTCCAAGAATGTAGGTCTGGACCCAAACAGGCTCAGAGAGAGAATCAACCAAACTCCACCTTTGGTGTCCCATTTTATGACGGAAGAGGGCTGAATCTCCTCACTAAAAATCCTTGTGTACTTCCCTATTTCATATATAAAGATACTATCAAGTAGACCTAGTGCCGGCCCCAGCTCATCTAGCCTGTTTGGATGCTGAAGCTACACTATTAAGCAAGCTATGATCAAAAATCACATTAACTAAACACATTTAAATAGGTTTGCTAAAGACTATGTTTTTGTAACAAGATATATAAAGATCAACACAATGATAACACTCCCAAGCCCACCACTACAGAAGTGATTGTCTTACCAGGTTTTTCCTAGTTCAGTAAGCCATGTTGGGATGTTTCCCGTCATGATTACTAAAGGATCCTGAAGCTGCCTATTTGCTTTTGCTGTCAACTTACTGTTAATAAATTCACTAGTTGGGATAATCTCCTTGCACACTGCATTCTGTAAAATGTTAAAAAAAAAAGTCTATTATGTAGTAAAACATTAGGATTATATTCACCATCGTTTCCTTTATTCCCAAATACGTATGCAGAGTGCTGAGACTTCCCCTGCTGGTTTCCAACATACAGCTTCTCGTTGGTATGTCCCAACCTGAATGGCAGCTTTCACAACGCACAGCTGAGACAGCCCAACCCCACGTGCCACTGACAGAGCAGCGAATGCTTCATGCAGGGCCAGCTCCTTCACTCTTCCCTCCACTAGCGTAGTATCAAAGACAAGCATTCAACTTTCACTTGAATTTAATACACATCTTAAATAAATGAACTTTTAGCTAAAGGTACCTAAAGATTTTTTAACTAATAAATTAATGGTAAATTTTTATGTGGTAGCTTAATTTTATAAATTATAGCTAGAGAATATTTACAAGTCTGCTAAGAGAACTAGGTCTGCCTAGAGAACTAAATTAAATGTATGTATATTTCATTATATTGCTCTTAAGACTACTGAGGTGGCAGTTTAATTCTTAAAAACAATAAAATGAAAGCATAAATACTATTTTGCCTAGATGAATTTTTACCTAATGATGACACATTTGGGAGAAAGCAGAATTTTTCTTGTTGATACAGCTTTTACAGTAAAATAGATTCACGTTTTTGGAGATTAAAACCAGCAAGTTGAACGTTAATATTTCTAAAGTGGTATGATTGTTCAGAGTATTCTATAGTATTTTGGGGAAATATCAGTTGCAAAGACTAAGAAACTACTTAATATCCATTTTGCCCTGTAAAAACCACTTGCTCAAGTTATTGTATAAATACTACCACTGAAATATAAATGCAAAAGATAATTTGACCATATTTTAAAACTCAAAATAGGTGACTTTACTGTATGAAGTATACAGGGCTGCTTTACCCTCTGTTTTTACTAACATACTGGAAGAGTATCTTTCATACATGCTGGGCTAGGATCTGTGCTGTTCAGCTGAATCATTGTTTCTATTTCTAGTACAACAGGAAACTGATCAAGCACTAGACAGAAACTAAGAAAAAACATGTAATGGACAACACATCAGGGAAAAGTTCGAAAGTAGGCAATATTACTCACATCATACAAGTAATACCAGTATCGACTGATGGCATGTAAAACTCTTAAAAGAAGAATCACATCTAATGAAGGGTCTTCAAAAGTTATATTTTCAGGTGGTGTGGGTATGAGGTAAACTTCTAGAGGATTTGATACTGACGGGCACACTCCATCTAGAGGGCAAAAGATCAAAGTTTGATCAAAGTGTTGATCAAAGTTAGAAAGGCAGTCAATGAAGCCAGCATCATCTCAACATGCCTAAAAACAGTAACCACGAGTGGTTAAGATTTAACGCTCCGTATCTTACTAGTAGAGTACTGACAGCTTGAACATTTTTTTTCCTTTTTTATCTTACAGATAAATCATCCAGGCTTAGGAAAATTTCACTTTCTCTCCCATACTCATACACTGTAAAGGAGAAAAACTGACTCCTTTGCATTTCTCCTTTTTTTTTTTTTGTGGTATGTGGGCCTCTCCCGTTGCAGAGGACAGGCTCCGGAGGCGCAGGCTCAGTGGCCATGGCTCACGGGCCCAATCGCTCCGTGGCACGTGGTATCCTCCCGGACTGCGGCACGAACCCACATCCCCTGCATCAGCAGGCGGACTCTCAACCACTGCGCCACCAGGGAAGCTCCTGCATTTCTCCTTTGTATCAGAAAAATAACTGACAATAAAATGGCCAGAGAGGAGTAAAGAAAAGGTGTTTAAATTAAGTTCACTGCTACAGAAATTTCCTGGATTTTTTATATCCAGTTTAAAATGGCCATGTAAGATAAACAAATACTCCCAAGTTATACATCTGATCAAAATAAGATTTGGTTATTTAATCCAAGACTTAGGACATGATAGACTGTGATAGTTTCCAAGTAGGAACTGCAATTCCTTTGTTCTTGGATCTCATAAAGTAATAGCATTAGAAAAGAGAGAGACTGAAACTGTTGCCATTTACTTCTACCAAGCAAAGAAATTAAAAATCACAACACTAGCTCTGCATAAAAGGGCAACTGTTTTAATACCAAAAACATAGAAAACAAATATCTCAAACACCCTTTTATATAGAAAAAACTGAGTTTTATGAAAAACAAACTTGCTACAATGCCCTTACTTCTGTGGACCAGGGAAAATTTCATCAACACCACCAGTGTTTGGAAATCCCTGATAGGGGCTGGTCCCCAAGGAATGCAGCCTATTGGTAAGGCACTGTTATAAAAAAGAAACGGAGAGGGGCTTCCCTGGTGGCGCAGTGGTTGAGAGTCCGCCTGCCGATGCAGGAGACACAGGTTCGTGCCCCGGTCTGGGAGGATCCCACATGCCGCGGAGCGGCTGGGCCCATAAGCCACGGCCACTGAGCCTGCGCGTCCGGAGCCTGCGCTCCGCGGCGGGAGAGGCCACAGCAGTGAGAGGCCCGCGTATCAAAAAAAAAAAAAAAAAAAAAAAAAAGAAAGGGAGGAAATGAGCAAAGTTAGACTGGAAGGAAATACTACAAAGGAAGGTAAGTCAATTGGGAGGTTTTACTACTTTCTGTAGTCATTTTATAACCTAGCAAAACTTTTTATTCCTTCTATAATTGGTGGATCACACTATTATAATGAATAACAATAAATATAAATATATATTATTATATATATAAATATATAAATAAATATAAATAACAATAAAAATTAAGGGCCAATGTCCAGCCTCTTCTTTAGTGCATATGTTCTACTAATGAAATTTGTTTTTGCTTTCATAAAAACATGAATTCTTCATAGAAAGAATGGTAAGTTTTCCCCAAAATTCTTTCAAGATAACTTTTCACTTTCTAGACATTAAAGTCAAGGGTTCAATTAAAAGCAGCCAAGCGTTTGTAGTAATTCATATTTTTATAAATTATATTAAAAGATTTTACTACTAGGGCTTCCCTTGTGGCGCAGTGGTTGAGAGTCCGCCTGCCGATGCAGGGGACACAGGTTCGTGTCCCAGTCCGGGAAGATCCTACATGCCGTGGAGCGGCTAGGCCCGTGAGCCATGGCCACTGAGCCTGCGCGTCCGGAGCCTGTGCTCCGCGACGGGAGAGGCCACAACAGTGAGAGGCCCGCGTACCGCAAAAATAAATAAATAAATAAAAAGATTGTAAGTGTGTAAGTGCGTGGAGTTGTATAAGACATTTAAAAAAAAAAAAAGATTTTACTACTAGATATAAATCACTCCATCAAAACCTTCAAGACAGGAAGACTACTGCCCCATGGCGATCTCCTTGCCCCTCTAGACATCACTTACCGTTCCACAACTCATCGTGCTTTTTTGCATTTCTAGGGGAAGTTTTTGTTGGAGCTGTTTGGGCTCTTCCTCTTTTACCACCAACACAATCTTTATTGCTTTCTTCATCCTCTCTCACGGGTTTGTACCTAAAGTAATAAGAGTATGTAAACTCAAAGTAGATTTTAAAATGGCAAATTATTCTGCAAGGCCAAAGTGCAAGCCACAGACACCACAGAGTTACCAGAACAACTCTCTGAGGGCTATCCTCTCTCTCCCTAGTTGTGGATTTGGAGAACTGCCAATGCGACTGCTTCCTAGAAAAGATCACCTAGGAGGGGCCACCTGAGAAACTCCAGGGGGGCGGGGGGGCTCTGAGAAAAATCACCCTGTTTAAATAAGTAGTAGACATTCACCAACAATGCAGGAAGCTGCATCCAAATGCATCTAAGGGCTCAGAGACGCCAAACTTCGTACTACCTAAAGGAACATCATCTTATAGAGACATTTTTGCCTTATTTAAAGACTTGAAATGAAGCTACTAGAAAAGTAGGTGCAAATTATGATTATTTATTCCCCAAACACATTTTCAAGTAGACTTAATGAGGAAGCTAAATACACACACATACACACACATGCACACACACAAGATGGAACATTTGAAGTGGCTTTTAATAATAAAACATAGAATTTAGAGTCCCCTCTCTCCTTATGCAAGCCAGCCAGTAACAGGAATTCCAAAACACACAAACAGTATCAATGTTGATGAAAAACCAAACAAAATCATTTTCAGACTTGCCATATTGTATGAGTTTTCGTCCAAATACCAGCTCTTCCTAGAGGATTGCTCTCATCATCCGTGGATTCCCGTTCATCTTCGGCCTGTATACTGAACTGCCGTACTGCCTGATACACAGTCATGTTATACGGTAGCAGATGTTCTCCGATGTAAAACTGTAGCCTGTGTCGTACATTTCCTGAATTTAAGAATTGAGCAGCCTAAATAAAGCAAAACAAAATCCATTGAAGCTATAGGCCCTGAACTTTACACATTAAAACTTGGTAAGAACAGCACCTTACCAGAGACTCGTCTATTTCCTCATCAGAGCCATCATCGTCACTGTCTTCATCATCTTCTCTTACTCTTCCATACCCTAAGGACCCAAGAAGTCTGTTAAACTCCTAGCAATTGCATGTGGCAAAGAAAAGCCTATATATACTGGTTAAACTAACATATTCCTAGAAAAACATGTATATTGCATTTTGATCTACAAAGCAGAAAGATTAAGAAAACTGTCAGATACAAAATGTGATTCCTATTACATTCCACCAGGATCAAGTAACTCATCACCCAATCAACCAAGTAAGCAGTCAATCCCTACAAAATTTAACATTTCTACATACTACATATAAAATAAATGATGAGTACACAAGTTCCTGATGCTAGGTTTTGACAGAAGCAGCAATAGGGAAATAATTTATGTATCCCTTAATCTTAATTTCATCCCAAATGTACACATAAACACACAATATACATGTACAGAAAGTACCTCTAACTACAAGGTATCTCTCGATAGCTTGCACCAAAGCCAGAGGGTCAATCTTGACAGGTCCACCCTTCCACTGCTTCACATTTGCACAGTCTGGATGTCTTTGTAACTGGCATTTTAACTGATGTGTGTTGAAAAATTTTAAAGCCTGTGATCCTCTGTTGAGAGAAAAGCTCAAGATAATTTATGAAAAAAAAGTTATTCTATTATTTTCAAAACCAACATACACTAACTAAAATAAAAGCAGGATAATGCAAACTCTGCATTTTTCTTGAGACACAAAGTAGCACTTACCAGTTATGTATATAGTAAAGCCAGCAATTCCAAGTTACTGGAAAAAACTTTTTATGATAAAATAAGAAATAAAAGAGGATGTGTATGCATGCATATGAAAACGTTAAATCAACCTTCCATGTCTGTCCCACCATGAATCTATGTAAGCGGAAATACCTCACGATCGAGATTTAATTATTTCCGCAGGATAAAAATTCCTGAACCATTTGGGCATGCTCACTTCTGCAATATTTTGCCATTGCCTACTAAATCCTATTTATTTAAAAACAAACAACAAACCCTCTCATTTTTGCTTTCGAAGATTTCAGCTACAAAACTACTTTAAAAACTGACCTTTAGATTTTACTTTGCTATAGTCTTTTGAGTGAAGCAGTTTAATAGCTGTACCAGCCTAGAGCTGGTAATGATATTCAACTGCTCATTTCTGAAAAGGTCTGGCAAGAGTAAGACGAGTTTAAAATGCAGTTATCTACAAGGTTCCATAATGCATGCAAACAGGGCTATGGGAAAGAATATTCCATTACATTGATATATACACATGTAAGCATACATATTTTACACAAATTTAGATAAAAATGAAAAACACTATGGTTTTCTCAAATATATTTGAAAGTGTCCCTTTATTTCATAAAAATCTTCCAGGACAGTTTAATAATCGAAATTAAATACCACTCTCTACATTAAATTTCAAAGCAGAAAAAAACCTAGTCCACACTGATCACTTCACTATTCAATAATGCATACTGTTTTAATTCAGTCAGAATTTTAAATGTCTTTAAAACACAGCAGACTGTGATTTTAAACCCAAGCTACTTTTTAAAATTTTCTAGGCTGCTAGTCATAATATTCCAGGAAGCATGTAACATTCTGTAAGAACACAACAATGAACTTAATGAATTCTTTCTGTAGCACTTCATGAGTCCTGTAAAACTACTATATTATGGAAAAAAATAAACTTATTTGTTAAAGCCCATCAAAATGCAAAGTTTTTGCAAAACCCCTTAGATCACATATAAAATCACATTATTGCACAGAAAGTAAACATTTTATTATCCATATCTACAAACTTCTTGGAGAAAAGCTTTATATATTAAAGTACATCAATTTAAGGAAAACTAAGCCTACTACAACTTTCCAGCACTAGTTGGTTTTATATTTTCAAAACATCATGTTTAAGATATGGGGTACGACTTTAGGGATAAAAATTATCTGATTCACACTTTAGAATATTTAATTTCTGCGGTCCTTATTCATGAATGTTCTTTGAGCAGACCAAGATGTCACTAGACCTCTTGCCACCTTACCTCAACAAAATAAAGCATAAAGTCCAATGGCAAGGGCACACCTAGGCAATGATCCTTACCTGCCTCCTGTGCCATTTCCACTTGGAAAGTCATGCACTTTGACTGGAAACTGTTCCATCTGGCTGAGGCAGTTGTTCATCTTGTGAACTAATGCCAACAAAGGTGCATTACCCACTGGTTCTACTCTTCCAATGGGCTCCTCTCCAGGAAGCTAAAGTTATAAATAAACGAATAGGTTAAGCAAGGCCTCATGAAAATGGAATGCTCAACAAGAAAATTTAATAGGTAGTTTTACAAGAGATCTAATCTATTGTACCTTTTTTGATGGATTTGGTTAGAACAGTGTTTCCAAAGAAATTATTTCAATAAAGACATTCTTTCTGTATAGGCCCACAATCCCATATTCACAATTCCTAAGTCCAAAAGGCTTGAAAACACAACTCATTTAGTGGCAAAACCTGACTCAGACAGACACAAGGCCATTTGTAGTCTTTATTCAACCTTTATTTAGTAGGAATAGTCCTATGTTTTGCTGCAAAAATATTTAATGTGTGCAAAGTACTGTTCAGAATCCACTGGGGATATATCAGGTAATACATGCTGTATATACTGTATGGTAGAACTCGTGAAACCCATCCAGCCCCAAGGAGTATCAGATAAGAGATTACAGACCTGTACATAATTTTAAGCATGGTATAAAACTATACCCAATATTGCTACACATCTAATGATTCTCAAATAAACATCAATTCTGCTTTAGGTAGCCGCACCAGTTAAGACAATATAAGCAATGCCTGCAAACACTGAAAAGACATGGTGACACAGTTTCATACAGGAGACTTGTCCTTAGCCCTATTATACAGCTGAACCAGAGAATCTTCCCTAGGGATGCCTTCTCTTAAGCCATTATGAACAAGCAGAGTGATGTGGAGTCAACAGTGTTCAGGTTACTCTCTTGCTCTCACTCACTGAGGGTGAAGGAAGTGAAGCTGCTCTGTGGCTTCTGGTCTCATAATCCACATTATAAATGGTGATTAAGTACTCTTCAATGAAATTGTTAGTTCTGTGTTTTACATACAGAATAGAAATGTATATGTGTCTACTCTATCTTATGTCTACAGCTACATTATGTCTACTGTATTTCCCTTCTAAAAAATATACTGCAAACTGCAATATGTTTAAAAACAGATATTGAGAATAAAATACATTCACAAGTGAGAGACTACTATTAATGGCTTGCCTGACAGAAAAACAAAGACTCAAGATTCATCAACCACAGAACAGGCCCTTGCTTCAAGTCACCATTTCGTTGTTTTATTATTTACCTGATGTATAAAAGACCAATGAATCCAACTGTGTATAATAAGCAAGCTAAACACTTTACCTCAATATCTTGACCAAAAACTACTCGAAATTACTACTGGGATGAAAATATACACACTAGTGAACAATGATGCTTAAGGTAAGACACACAGGCATTATTATTAGATAACTTACTGGAGAAGAAAAAAATACATGAAGGAATCTCTTTAATCTGATCTCTCTGCTCACAGCATCCTTTTCGCTTTTAGATGTCAAATAAAGCAACAGCTGCTTCACAAATCCACTATGTTGGATTTCAAATGATGAAACATCTGACTCTGAGACTATGCTACGGATTTCTACAAGGCACTCAGCTCCACCATCCACCTGAAAGAGTTGAAAACAATATTTACTGATTTCGACAGCCTTTACTAAATGCACAATTCACATTTCCCCAAAAGCAACTGGACACTTTCTTAACACCTTTAAAAAAGAAGGCAGGGGCGGGTGGTGCGTTCTTGGCAGAGCTTTGTCACCTACACACACAGTCACAAAACGTGACTACTTCATGACAGAAAACCAGTATCCAGACTAACGTTAAAAAAACACCAAAACCCTTCATATTCAACCAATGGAACTGTGTTAAAAAATTAAAAAAAGACAAAGGATGAGAATACGAATGGAGGAATGGAGCTACAATACCAAAATGAAAAGAGATATAACAAGAGTTCAAGGTATGGCTTTACATTAGTACATTTAAAGTATGAATGAAACAGACAATTTCTTGGAAAACATGTACTACGCATATTGCTCAAAGTATATCAAAAATGCAAAGAGAGTCAAATGAAACGCAAAAGGCTTAGTTATTACATCTCTATCCTCTCTGAGTACTCTCAGGCCACAGGTAAAGAGGGGTTAAGGAAGGTCTTCTCAATGCTAACACCTGTAGCTGAAGAGGACTGAGAGAGGAGATGTGCTTGAGGGACATTTCTAAAGTCTCTACATTTGTCAAGAAATAAGGGAGGTGAAGGAAAGAAAGTCGAAGACCAGATGTCTAGCCCATCTAATGATAAAATGATGCACGAAAAGTCAAGGGACAAGTTAAAGAAATGTCAGCACCAAAGGTACATGTCTGGCAAAAAAGCTAGAGAGTCACCAAGGAAAGCAAGAGCAGGACGGAAGAGACGCCAGAAGAGACAGAAGTGAACCAGCCAGATGCACCAGTCACGGTACCTGGAGGTTGAGTTGTTCGGTTGCAGCACAAAGTCTCTGAAGGACATTCAATGCAGGGTTGCTTCCATCCATGTTCTCAGAACTGAAATAACGCTCTACAAATTTATGTGCCTGCTCTTTAATCCAACCTTTGATTTTTTCTCTGCCAGAAGGAAAAAGATATTAAAGTCTCAGTGTACACAGAAAGGATTTCAATTATAACTTCTGGTCAAAGGCAAATAGCTGCTACATTTAAAATCCTTTTTGGTCTATGCTTATAGACTAGTAAATTCAGATTCCACATTAACCCAATTAAGTTTCAGTTTGAAAGTGGGCTAAGATATACCTAGAGAAATGCACAGGTACTTAAAATACATTTCAGGTCATTACATGAAGACCAAAGAAACAGTTCTAACTTCTAGGGACTCTACAACCTAAGAGTTTCCTGAGTGTTCACCTGAAAGCAATTTTACATGACTGTTCTCTAAGGTACAGACATATCTGCACTGTCCTTTATTTATGTTCCCTGGAGAGCTGAAGTAAAGAACTACAGACAAGAAACATCCACCTATTAGGTGCACAATTAGCTATGACAGCTGAGACCTCGCTGTTTAAATTACAAATTCTGATGGCTTCAGAAATATATTTGCTTAATTATTTTTATTAACTGAAGTTCAGAACCACCAACCAACCAAAGCAATCAACCAAACAAAAAGGACTTCCTTGTTTTCCCAATGGAATTTGATTTTTTTAAATTTCTTATTTGCAGAAGTACTCCTTGCTGGTATGTTATATCCAGAGCCAAAAGACAAAACAATCCATAGGATTGTAAAGAAATAATATTTTAAAGCCATAAACTGGTGTGAAATAGTTTAGCTGACAGAATTCTAAGTTTCTAAAAAATGGCTCTGCTCTAAGAGCCTTACCTTCCATTGTAAAGGGTGGAGGAGGGTTATCATAAAAGAGCACGCATGTATGTGTACAGAAAATACACCCGCTTTCCTTTTCTAGAACAGAACTAAAGGACAGGTTCAATGGGAAACCTATTTGTTTGGCTCTGAACATACACAACTCCCAAGTAGACGTGTTGAAAGGAATTTTAAAATATGAGACTGCAACGCAGGACAAAGCCAGACACAGGGTTCAAGAATTGAGAATCGGCTCCATCCTTGAGCTATGCCACCTCTGAGCATAAATTAAAGGTCTGTGTCCATGTTTCATCTCCATATAATAAATATGCTGACCGAAAAATGGGAAGTTTTTCTGACCTGAGAACAGAGGTGACACAGAACCCCCCACCTTACCTGTTATTGGATATGGTGTCCTTTGAGGCAGCCCTGGCAAGACCACTAACTCCTGCAGCTCGGGCCGGTTCAATGTTGTTGCTGTGAGACTGTGCGCTTAACCTTCCCCACGTTTTTGGATTCAAGCTTGCCAGGAAAGAAGATTTAGGTGACTGAGTAGTGGTGGGGCTTTTAGCTATGAAAAGAGAATGATGATTAGATCATTTCAGTGCAATCGATGAAAACCAACTGAATTTAAGATTCCCATTCTTAATAAATCAGCTAAAAGAACTAACAACACTGGGAATTCAGGAAACTCAGGCATGCTTCAAAGCTATCAGCAATTTTAATCAAGTATGTATCCTTAACTGCTACCACCTTTCCCTTTACTGCCTCATAGTTTCATCACAAAAATTACCTTGATTGTCTACTTTGTCATCATCTCTTGGAGGTGAATACTTTGGCCTTCTTGATCCTCGTTTTGGCAGTCGTTTTCTCTTTAGAACATCACTTAATCGACTGTCACATGGGAAAACATGGGATAAGTTTAGCACTTACCATGATTTAGTATCATCACTCATTTAAAAGGAAGCTAAAATGGCAAAATATTGTTATAACAGGGTATTTTTCATTTAGTGATTATGTAATGCCAACTCTGCACCAATGTTCTAAAAGTGTACAAGACACAGAAAATGATTAGTTCAGAAAATAGCTAGCTATTTGACTATACTGAACTACTAAAAAGAAAACCAGGGACTTCCCTGGTGGTGCAGTGGTTAAGAATCCACCTGCCAATGCAGGGGACACGAGTTTGAGCCCTAATCCGGGAAGATCCCACATGCCGTGGAGCAACTAAGCCCGTGAGCCACAACTACTGAAGCCCGCGCGCCTAGAGCCCGAGCTCTGCAACAAGAGAAGCCGACGCAACGAGAAGCCCACGTGCCACACTGAAGAGTAGCCCCCGCTCACTGCAACTAGAGAGAGCCGGCACACGGCAACGAAGACCCAACGCTGCCAAATATAAATAAAGAAATTAATTAATTAATTTTAAAAAAGAAAACCAAATAGACTATCTCATTAATCCTGTGTTAAACTCCATTATTAAATGCAGTACATACATAAAGCATGGGAAACAAACATGCAATGCATAAACTAGAAAAAGAATATGTTAAATCTGAGTACCTTATTTCTTCCCTAACCTAAATGACAATAAGTAAAATATACATAGCATTGAGTGTTAATATTATCAAAATACTTTCCAATACTACGCAAAGGAATTTCATGGTGTGTAATGGCAATAACATCCTAAATGAATGCATTTATAAGTACTTTTTTAAAAAATTCAAAATTATCTGTAAACAAATGTGGCAAGTGATAATCTGAGTAGCCTATTTTGAATTAGAATATATGAAACAGAACGTATGTAGCCTTTGTGTACTATTTTCACTATCTTTAACAACACTAGAAATAGTTTAAAATATCATCCTTCAAATAACAAAGCTACCTAAAGTAGGGAAGATGAAAAAAAGTTCTGGTTCAGTTGGTCTATGACCCAAGTAAGAAAAAGTTTGAAAAAAATATTTAAAGTCTTCCAATATCTGACATGTCTCCTGAAAACACTTAATAGTGTGATCAATATACCTGACGATCAGGACAAGTGAACTTTCAAAGAATAAACTTAAAATTAAACAATTCCACCTTTACAAATTTATATAAACTTTTCATTTAAAACCATATTAGAAGAGAAAGGAATCACTTAAAACTCTGAAAGTATTTTAAGAAAAAGTTCCTTTCCTCTTTCTTTAAGAGTATCAACTGTCAGAACCTATAATCACATAGGTTCTTTGCATTGCATATTTGTTTCATATACTTTATGTATGTAGCTCAGAAATACGGCACTTGTCTGAGCTGCATCATATTTTACCAAGTGCCTGTGCTATAATATAGTATTGGGCTGGCCAAAAAAGTTCGATCGGATTTTTCCGTAACATCTGCAATGACTTAAGGTTACTGCAGCAGCTGGGGGAGGGAGTAGGGCTCGGGAGGAAGTAGAGAGGCAGGCAAGGCTGGGAGGGAAAATGGCAAGAAAATCCAACTTGAAAACAGTGAAGGTGGAGGGTCTCTGGCATTATTCTCAAACTCCTTGGACTGTGCCCACTACATGGTGCCACTTAAACCCAGCAGCTTCCTAAAATTAACAGTCACTGTGCCAGAAGTCACAGAATTGCCAAAATTCATATTTAAACCACAGGGTGGACAACTGCTGCCAAGGGGCACCAAAAGCAGCTGGGGTTCTGAGTGGGCTAGCTTCACAGGACAATGCTACCTTGCAGTTTATAAGATTAAATCTTTGGACCCCACTTATTAAGTATAATGTTTTACCAAGATCTACTTTTCAGCTTACATCAAAGAAACAAAAACACTTAAGAGTGTGACTTGTTTCAACACAACAAAATGAAAACCAACATGAGGGTTTGGTAATGTTCTCAGCAGCACAGTACAACAAAGGAATTAAAAAAGAGGTGGAAGCAGAGAACTTAGAACTCTCATTTGCCTTTATTAACAGCAAAAGTTCCCATATGCCAATTAAAGATAAATGGGAAATCGGGATCTTTTTTCCTTTACAGTCTAAAAATTCCGATTTTTAATATTTTTCACTATGTTAAATATCTGGGTTTCTTAAAGCTGGTATGTATGCTGCAATATAGTAAATAATCGCAAGATTATGGAATCAGAAATGAGGGCTCAAATCCCGCATCTGTAAAATAAGTACATGACACTATACCAGTCACTTAGCTTCTCTGAGCCTTAGTTCCCTTGTATGGAAACACCATGTATCTCTTGTGGTTCCTAAACATGGCTCAATACAACAGGTTTCTTCCCATTCCCATTAAATATCTAACACAATATACATGGAAAAATAGAAAACGTACACTCTCTGTAATATTTTACCATTTACTTCCCTGTGTGAGTCTCAGGTACCAGGGCAGAGTTAAAGGCAAAGAGCACAAAAATCACTGCAAAACTCTGACTTACCCTTGAGGGCTGAGATCTAAAGAATCATCTCTGCTGTGCTGCAAGCTGGGGGATCCCAAGTCAGCTGAGGCGTTAGTGGCAGCCGTGGCTGTTCCACTGCTGACAGACGTCGTGGACCCCAAGGATCCTGACCCATTCGTACATGCCTTTGGTGGACTTGTCAACAATGATTCCGATTCTGCTAAGTGTTTTACTTGATGCATTACACCTTTACAGAGCAGAGATTAAAGAGAATATGTGTTAATCAGGACCACCTCCCCACCATTATAAGATCCCTAAATGTTAACATGGATTCACAAGGAATGAATAAAAAGTACCCGGCAAATAGGAAAATAACTTTAGGTGCCAGAGTCTTCAACTTGACTCCAAAGAAAAGTAGTAGGCAAACTGAAAATTAAAGAAAAGATATTTATACTGACTGTCTGCCAATACTCAAAACCCGAATGTAGGATACGTAATGGGGTCACATGTAAATTCCTACTGGAAATAAAATACCCTTTATAAAAACAACAAGCAATTACAGAAATGCAGTGCACCTGTGGCTTGACAGCCAGAAGGAAGAAAAAGACCTACAGTCATTAACTTCAAATACTACAATGAGATAAGATCACAGTAACACTACTGCCAAAAAAAGAGAACACCAGCTATTGAAGGATGGTGATTTTCACATCCTTGGATGTGTATGAGGAGAAATGAACAGTAACTTATAAGGCAGGGTTTATATTTGGGGTTGGACTGTGGGAAGATGTACATGAGAGGAGGGGGAATATAAAGGTGTGTGTCTGAATATCGGTATGTAAACTATATGCAAATCTGTGTGTCTGAATGTATGTGCGTGCATGTTCACACAATCACATTTTTCTGGGGAAGAGTTCAGAGCTTTCCATCAGATTCTTTTTATTAAAAAAAAAAAAAAGTCTGAATGAATTCAAACTTCAGGCATTCGTTCCACAAGTATTATTTGCAGCAATCATATGCCAGACTGTGTGCTAGGGACTAAGGATATGGCCATGGCTAAGAAAAATGGATTCAGGGCACTTATTAACTAATGAGAAAGATACATTTAACAAGAAACTACAAATAAAGAGTGAACTGCTTATGAAAAAGAAAATACAGTGCTGTTGGAGCATACAATCGGGAGATGTAACAATCTAGAAGGCAGGCTAGATCTTTAGGAGTAAGTGACATTTAAGTGGAACCTGAAAGAACAGTGAGACAAGCCAGATGCAAAGGGGTAGAACCAATCTACATTCCTCCATAAACTTCATAATGTATATGCCATATAAATATTTGGGGGCGGGAAATTCAACCTGATGGCATAGTTGATTCTACCAAAGTTTTTAAAAAAATCATTAAGAAAAAAGACCGATTCTGATATGCTTCCAAATCAGAAAGCAACTAAAAGCAAACAACAACAAAAACAGAAAATCAAAAACAAAATACAGAATGCAAAATACAAGATAATCTAAGGCTAAAAATAAGAATACATACCAGGCATTTATGTGAGCATAGAAAACCTGATTTGTTAACCATAGTTATTATCTCTGGGAAATGGAGAGAGTTTGCCTTCTATTTCACATAAATGTGTAGTGCTGGATTTTTTTTGAAAACTCACTGCTATTTGAACAGAGCTAATAAGAAACAGTGAAAACTTCTTCCCATTTGATTCAATACTATTACACTAGCATGTCTGTTACATTCTCAAGATGTAAAGAGAGATGAATCCAGCATAAGAAAAGGTGATCAAAAGAATGGAAAACAGATCATATGCATAAAGAACCAGGATTGTTTCTAAGACTGAAGATAAAGTATTACGTGAGGGGAAAACACCATCATTTTCTGCATCCTCACAAGATCAAAGTAACCTAATAGACCAAAAAGACCCATAAAGAGATTTCTGTTGATGAGAAGGAACTTTTGATATCTTGGCAGGTTTAAAAAGAATAAAACACCCAAGTGAGTGAGACAGTGTCATCTTTGAGGTCTTCAAGAAAAGAATGGAAAAGTATCATGTCCCCTAGGCTGATTTCGACACTGAAATTCCTCAAATTAGAGGACTACACCAATTGCATTCTGAAGATTATTCCAAGCCTTGAAACATTCCATTATCTACACAGTGAAGTAAAAAAATAATCCCTTTTACAGCTGTTCTGATCTACTAACAGGATTCCTTGGGAAAGTGACCTCTGACTTTTTCAAAAAATCTTTATGGGCAACTGTATGTTATCAGCATAAAAAGAAAAGTCAATGATTGCTTCTGGGCCATAAACACTCAAATCATTGAAACTTACTAAGTGTTCATCAACAGACAGTGAATCTCACACAATCTATAACAAAAGATTTATAAAAGATGCTCTATATGTATTAAAGCTGTAAGCATGCAAATATCTTACATAAAAATAACAGTTTAATTTTTTTTCTATAGAGTATAACTATACTTCTACTGAAATAATGTTTAGACTAAAAGATTAACCATGGATTAACTATCATGAACGGCATTACCTTCTCTTCTGAAATAAACACTAAAAATATCAGGTAACTTCTGCATTAAGATCTCTGCCATCTGAAGTGCTCCAACTACTATCTTCAGGTCTTGGCTTGATAGCATGGAAGCAATATGACTAAAAAAAGAAAGCATTTGTATATAAAACATTTGTCTGAATTTAATAATTACTGCTGGCCATCCTACTTTAAATTTGAGAGCAAAATATTTTAAGTGTCAAACCAATCCACCAGAACAAGAATTTTTCTTAAATGCTCAACTTCTGCATTTAATTTATTCTTTATCAAAGGTGTTTGTGAATATAGAAAGACAACGAAGGGCTCAAAATATTCCAAATAAACAGTTTTGTGCATATTTTTTCTGTACTATTTCTTTAAAGATTTCTGAAGTTACTTGCAGAGACTTGGATTTCTAAAGCGTTTTCACCACTTTCATGAACACACCTTGAAACAGCATGATTTTTCAGGACATCCTTTAGAAGTTCGGCATCCGCGAAATAAATTATCCTAAGAATTGCTCTAAGGCACTTATGTCTGACCGCAGGTCCTGCTGAGGAACTATACACTTCATAAAGAACACCAAATAATGTCTTAATAAAAGACTTAGCCAGTTCCGGATCCTCTTTCATAAGCTGTGCTCGAGCATCATCCTTCTTTAACTCTGAATATCCACCTGTAATAAAAAAAAATGTATAATCCTAAAGCTACAGACTTCAGAAACACAATAAAGTAAATAACATAAAGCATTCAAGCTGATGTAATTATCTGAAATGCTACAAAAACTTTTTGGTTATAAAGCAAATTAACTTATGCAATCAACTGGGGTCTATAAATGGCATTAAGACAAATTTTAGCCAGCTAAAAAACCACCGACCATTCTGGCCAGCTGAAAAGCACAAGGCACCACTACACTGTATCTCTTATTTTTACTAATATATGTTCCACAAAATATTGGAGATGTTTCAGTATTAGCCAGCTAAACCACTAGTAAGAAATAAACAGAGCTGAAAAACCGGACAGTGAGTATGTAGCAAGAAACTGGAAAAACAAGATGACCTGTCACTTTGATTAGAGGGAATAAGGTGCAGGGGAAAGGTAACGGACGAAAAGCGCTAGAACAGGGGTTGGCAAAGTATGGTCCAAAGGCCCAATCCACCCACCACCTATTTTTGTAAATAAATTTTATCGGAACACAACCACATATATTTGTTTACATATTGTATATGGCTGTTTGGGAGCTACAAGAGCAGTGCTGAATACAGAGACTGCATGGCCTGCAAAGGTTAAAATATTTACTACCTGGTCCTTTTCAGAAACAGTTTGCTGACCCTTGCACTCTAGCCTAGACCTGCAAAAGCAATGAACTAAATCCCTCAGGAAAGGAACAAATGACAGAAACCTGAAAAGAAAAAAAAAATCACGATCACCTATTCTTCATTAATTAAGAGAATTTTGGTGGGGGAAGTATAAAATAAAAGGTTGGAAAGAACTAATATGATGGGATGTGAGCAGATGCAAAGGTAAAACAGGGATAAAAGGATCGGATTTAAAAAACTGCATGGGCTGCAGAGAACAAACTGGCGGTTGCCAAAGGGGAGGGGGTGAGGGGAGAAAAGAAGTAAGTGAGGGAGATTAAGGGGAAGAGACTTCCAGTTGCAGAATAAATGAGGCACGAGCAAGAAATGTACAGCATGGGGAATACAGTCACTTACTGTTGTATATAACACCTTTGGTGACAGATAGTAGGTAGACTTATCATGGCGATCATTTGAAATGTACAGAAGTACTAAATCACTATGTTGTGTGACAGGAGCTAACATAGTGTTGTAAGTTCATTATACTTCAAAACCAAACTCAAAGAGATCCGATTTGTGGTTACTGGGGCGGGGGGCGACGGGGGGTGGACTGGATGAATGCAGTCAAAAGGTATAAGCTTTTCCAGTTATAAGGTAAATTAGTACTAGGGATGTAACGTACATGACAAATATAGTTAACACTGCTGATGTTATATATGAACGTTAAGAGTTTCTTACCACACACAAATTTTTTTTTTCTATTGCTTTAATTTCTATCTATGAGAAGCTGGATGTTCACTCAACTTATGTGATAATCATTTCATGACGTTAAGTCAAGCCATTACGTTGTACACCTTAAACTTACACAGTGCTGTGTGTCAATTATATCTCAATAACACTGGAAGGCGGTGGTGGGGAAAGGGATGCACAGGACAATTCTGACTAGAGTCCAGGACACTGCAAATCACAGAAGTAGGAAAATCTTGGGGAAGATGCCAGTTAATATTGGCTCATTTGCCGATTAAAGCAACAACAAAAAATTAATTACTACTATGCAACTGTCTTAAGTTTAATAATAACACTCCATAAAACAATTATTTGTTATTGCAAATACTACTCACAGACAATACAGTACTACTTTTAACTCAAAAGATACTTACTACTGTTAGTATTGGCTAAGGGGTTAGGTTTTCTCTGAATGGCACGTGCTGTTCCCGTGTCCTCATTGATTTGCTGCATAGAATTAAAATCAATAGTATAAACTCGTCCCAGAGTGGACAAGCTTATCTCATCCTCACCGACCTGATGGGCTGCCTGAGAGCAAAGAGAGAGAAACCTTGAATATAAACATGGAGAAATTTATCAACTTAAGACACAGTGGGAACCCTCAATAAATGCTAACTTACATATTTGTTTCATCAGGTTTTAGATGGTGAAGTAACTGAATATACAAGTTTTAATAGTGTGGATGTGACAAAACTCATTCACTCAACAAACCGTTTTTAATTAAACACAAATATATATTACAGGACCTATCAGGTCCCCTGAGACAAATACAGGTAAAATCCTGATGAAGGATCCAGTCATGTAGAATCACTGACATGAAGACGACACTATTTGTGTTAAAAAGGCCTTTAAGACATTGCTGGCAGAAAAAAAATTGTTATCCATAAATCTTCGTATCTAATTCTTAGGTTAAAATGTTATTTACAGCATGGATTCCTAGCAGCCCACCAAAATCCTCCTTTAAACAAAATGATCCTATAAAATTATCCTTAGGAAACAAAAAAGACTTTACATTTAAATGATGCCCTAAGATTGAAAGGGACACAATTGGAACTAAAGAAAGTAATCCCCGGGGGTGGCAAGTATTACAAAGTATGTATCTCAAATGAGATAATATGATTAACACTGTTTGCTTGATTTTAGACAGCCTGAAGAAGTGATAAAATATTCATTCTTATGGAATTCCTTGGTTGAATGGAAGACAGGACTCTTAGGAAATATAAGACAGTTAACTTTAGACAGATTTAGACAGTGAAAATACAATTATCGGGAAAATGCTAAAAAGAAGAATGCTTAGCGTTAGAGACCACGACCTACTTATAAACTAAGGCTAACAATGCACAAAGACCAGTCACCTTTAACTTCCTCATAGCATAACAGCTAGCTCTGAATTTAGATATTTTCATAAGATCTTCCAATCTTGTAACATGTTTTTCACAAACTCATTTTTAGAAATTAACTAGGGGAAAGGACCTTAAAGAAAAAAAAGTCTATTTAAGTGTCATGTCCTAAAAAATTCTAATAACGCAGGTTGAAATTAGAAATTATATTAATACTTAAAGTAACTTATACATGAAAACATTAGTAAATGATGCTTGACATCTCAGATAATGCAGTGACCCAACACTTCCTAAACTGGGGCAAATATTTTCCTAACCTGAGAAATGTTTGAAATATTTCTGTGCAAACTTAATATGAAGAAGTATGGAAACAAGAATAAAATCACATAAAAACTTTCACAGAAAAATCACGAAAGATTTTAGTGTGCTTTCCTTTGCCATTATTCTTCTTTTCTTCTGCAGAGTTCCCAAGAGTCAGTCACATAATTTTTTTGAACATTTTGTTTTCATTTATAGCATATCATATTTTAAGTCATTAAAATCTATCCCATTATGGTCTGGATTATATACAAACCTATGTATATTTCACAATTTACTTAGTCATTCATCTAAAGCTATATATTTAGATTGTTTCCATATTTTTGCTCTTTAAAAATACTGGGAAGCAGCTACTTGTATGTAATCTTTGCTTTTGAGAGATTTCTTCTGGATAGGAGATAGAAGGGACTTTTAGAAACATGTAGCCTAACTCCCTCTCATGTTTCCTTTCAGAAATGAGGAAACTATGGAACAAAGATCTTAAATTACTTGCTCCAAGTCAATCAGGTAGTGAGCAGCAGAAGCAGGACTAGAACACCATGTTTTCTGACCTGAACAGAAATGAGGACCTTGTTCTCAGGAGACAAAATGAGAAAATCTTGAGTTAATTCAACATTGAGCACATTAAGTACACAAGTCCACCTCCCCACTCCAGCCCTACACCCACTCTCCACCAAAATAAGACATATTTAAACGGTACGATGAAACTACTACCTCAATGATCCGGCTGTCAATCCTGTTATAGGGATGCCAAAGGCCCCGGTCATCACGCCACTGCCATATCGCACCATCTGTGTTCTGTGCATTTCCCTTCTTCAGCATGGTATCAACTGCAAAAATGCCTTCTTTTGGTAAACATGGCATAAGTTCACTGAAAACGAAAGGTGCAATTATTTTAGTAAGTAGCTTCCTGAGCTGTCAGTAAACACCAGGTTTCTAAAGTAAAATACCCTCATATAAACCACAGTCATTACTGGCCCAATCTTTACCAGATCAGAGATGTCAGTTCATACAGTTCTTGAGGACTTCGTGGAACAAGATCAATCTGTTCCTGACAACTTCCATTGGAGGCACCACACAGGAGAAAGTGAAGAGTTTCTGCAATGTCTGTAAAACCAACAACAAAAAGCAAAACCCTATGAAACTACTTATATTGCCATATTTAAAAGGCATTCATTGCCTAGGGGGGAAACAATTAGAAATATTTTCTTGTACAGCTATACGCCACAGAAATTAAAGTGAAAAATCCAAATGAGTTGTCATTAAAACCTTTAAAAAATTATGAAGATTTAAACAATTTCTTTCTGAGGACTTAAGTTTGAGTCCTAACCTTCCAGCAAGACACCTAATCACAAATCCACTGCAGAGACTTCAGGGATCTTGTATTACTTTCCCTGAGGAGCTTTGCAAAAAAGTGTACTAAACATATTTTATCCTCGACTCAAGTATATTTGTGTATTTGTCTTCAATTCAAATGTACTGAAAACATGTGACCAACAGAATAAAACACAGCAGTTAAAAGCATCTGAAATTACCATATTGTGATCAGGAAAACCTTTACCTTAAATGACAGTAAGCATGTCACCTAAATTTAAAGATCATTAAAATATCCTCTACCACAAGCTTCCATCCCCGGAAGATACCAGTTTATGGAAGAATTTGCATGAAAACTAGTTTAGTGTACTGACACTGACAGTGAGTGGAGGAAGCCCCCAGGCTCCAAAGGTTTTGGTCATTCTAACAGCTACGACCTAAAGACAGGGCTGTGTCTCTGTTGGTATCTATAAAATACTACACATATGCAAAATATACATAAACATTTCATTGAAATGTTCTGCCAGTAATCAGTAAGTTCTGCTGTCAAGGAAAGTATTCACCATTAATTTGGGCAGAGGGGTGTGGATAAATCTCTGACTCACTGAAATTTCACAAACTGATTAAAATTTTAAAAAAGTTCTTGAAAAAGTCATTTTGCCAACTTTCTTAAGAAATATGAATAGATGGCAATGGTACATTATTAACGTCTTCTTTTTTAAAGAGATCAGAGGATGACAACAAGATGGAAAGAACCAGAGAGGTTCGCGTTACTGAAGTAGAATGATTATGTGGCAAACTTCCTAAAGTATGCGGAAGAGGTGAAAACATTCATCACGCTAAAGACAAAATTCCAAAACGTTAAAACAAACAGAAGTCAGACAGGAATTTCCCAAACCAGGATATAGGAAAATGCTGTGCCACACCACATGGTAACAAGAGATAATCCTGTAGGCAAACTTCAAGAAATGGGAAAAATTCAAGGGGGCCCTAGGGATTTTAATAAGCAAAGTACATTATGACTACGCAAAAAAAGAGTTCAACCTTTCCCAAGCTTATCTAGGCAGAGAGGACTTTGTTCATGGCATAAGCAAAACAGTGTTCTCTGGGATACTAAGTTCAGGAAAGACTCAATGCTGTAAGAGGAATTTCTTCAATAAAGCACCTCAGCAACACTATTTTTCTACAAAATTCTGTGCCATGTGCTAAAATTCACAAGTAATGCGAAATATAAAACTGAGTCCCCCCGCATCCGCCCCCAAAAAAGTCCTCTTATACCACTTAATATTCTGTTTGAAGTGGTGGGACAAAGACTGTTTTGTCAGTGAGTGTCATCACTGACTCCCAAGGTAACGTCCTCAGAGATTAGAATTATGGACATGAAATTAACCACAATGACAGGTGCTTCATAACAAAGTGATCAACGCTCTACCAGCAATAATCACAACATACGGATGTCTTCTGACATTAACTTGTGAAATCTAAGGTTTAAGAGAGTAATGGGCAATGGCAATAGCAGTGCGATAAAACTTGATACCCTGCACATGTAAGTTTGGGAAAGGCTTAGAAATATTAAAGTAGCAAAGATCAGAGACATTCATCTGTGTAAATAAGTTCCAACACTTTGAGGGAAGAAAGCATTCTGGGATCATAAACTGCTGGAAAATCTAATGTGGGAAAAAAGGACTACCTATAAGCAAAAGAGAAGCAGTTACTGGTAACATAAAACTCAGAATTCTCCTAATGAAGCATCATTACTTAATTGATATTATACAGAAAGCAATGACTTTGGGTCTTTAGCCCTACACCAAGGGTAAAATTTTAATATATTATATACTTTAAAAATTGTATGTAGGCAGCATTACTATATTGTCACAACACAAATTTATTACATATTAACATTTTTCTTCCTTTACTATCCAGTGCCTGTGATATTAGCCATTTCTACTTGCTTATGTTGACTTTACTTATTAACAGAGATTAAACTCACACACACACACACACACACACACACACACACACACAAGCTGTCTTTCCCGTATAAAATAGAATAATAAAATAGCACTTACTTTGCTTCATAAGTTGAACAGCTAAAGTTGGACAGTTGGAACACATCAAAGAAAACATACGAACCACCATTATAAACATCCCAGAACTTAGAATTGGTGGAGTTACTACCAATAGCTGTTGAACATTTGTTAGCAGATCTTTGGAGGCAACCTGCTGGAGTAAATTCTTCACAAACACAAGAAAGAAAAAACTGTTACTTCGTGGGACAGCAATTTAACAACTTCATGAAAATACCAACAAAGACTAAACGCTTACCTCCTCATGTTGAAAGTTGTCCACTAGACGTGCAAAACAAAGGCAAGTGCTTTCTACTGACTTTTTGTCCTTTTTAATAAAGGAAAATAAAGTTTGTTAATATAAAACATTTTCACTGTCGTACGTCACTCCCTTTATCTTCTTCCTAACCCCAAATTCTTCAAGACTTGCTTAATTAGATATGAGCTTTGAAAATGCTGTGACCCTAATAAGCAAACAATCAATAATGTCATGATTTCAAAGCAAAGGGAATCATACTGATAGAACCTCTCTCCTCCATTAAGAACCCAACATACAAAAAGCAAATACAAAGAAAGGGAACAACTTTTGTACTTCTATAATTTCAATATCTAAACAAAAACTATAATAAAGAAAAAATAAACATCCTACCATTCTAAAAAGCCCTACAAGTAGAAATGCTTAAAACATGCATTCACTAAAAAGTTGTAAGTAGTTAAGTATGTGTGTGAGCCAGAGGTTTACTGATAAGAAGAAAAATTTGATATAGATTTGCTCTATCATTATGAAAACAATCTAAATACTATTAGACTGATCTTAATGAGAAAACATTTGGAATAACTCACATAAGAACAGAAAGAACAATTTAATGGCATAGTTTGATAGACTTCGGTTTTTTCTAATTGATAAATGGGCTTCAGATGTAAAAACTAGGCTTAGCTGTGTAAAAATGAAAGTAATTCTGGTATTATAGAAGTCCTACACCTTCGCTGTCATGATTTAAGTCTAGAAAGAATGCTACAATAACAGGACCCACTATTTAACTTCTCTGATTCTTGGGCCATACTTCCAAAATAAGGTGAACTCACACCTAACTAGAGAACGTTTCTAGCCCCCCATAAAGTAAAGGTTATCTCAGCCTGCTAAGTTTTTTAAAATAAATAAAAAATGAATGGCACTACTTGTGTCTTGAACATCTTAGAAGCAAAATCCTCCAGTGATTCAATAATCAATATTATTTTACCTATCTTATGTAAACACCTTATTTAATATAGGTATACCTCATTTTATTCTGCTTCACTTTAGTGCACTTCGCAGATACTGCATTTTTGACAAATTGAAGGTTTGTGGAAGCCCTGCACCCAGCAAGTCTGTTGGCACTATTTGTCCAACAGCACTCCCTCACTTCCTGTCTCTGTATTACATTGTGGTAATTCTCCCAACATTTTAAACCCTCCCCCCCTCCACCAGCAAAAAGATTATGAGTCCCTGAAGGATCAAATGATGGTTAGCATTTTTTAACAATGAAGAATTTCTTAATTAAGGTATGTACATTGTTTTTTTTTTTTAGACACAATGCTATTGCGCACTTTAATAGACTACATTAGCGGTCCCCAACCTTTATGGCACCAGGGACCAGTTTCATGGAAGACAATTTTTCCACAGATTTGGGCGGGGGGGGGCGGTGTTTTGGGATGATTCAAGCTCATTACACTTACTGTGCACTTCGTTTCTTTCTATTATTATTACACTGTAATATATAATGAAATCATTATAACAACTCACCATAACGCAGAAACAGTGGGAGCCCTGAGCTTGTTTTCCTGCAACTACATGGTTCCATCTGGGGGTGATGGGACCGACTCAGCTCCACCTCAAGTCAACAGGCATTGAATTCTCATAAGGAATGCATGATCTAGATCCCTCGCATGCACAGTTCACAGTACAGTTCATGATCCTATGAGAATCTAATGCCACCACTGATCTGACAGGAGGTGGAGCTCAGGTGGTACTGCGAGCGATGGGGAGCGGCTGTAAATACAGATGACACGCTTCGCTCACGCGCTCGCCCCGCTGCTCACCTCCTGCTGTGCAGCCCAGTTCCTAACAGGCCACAGGCCATGCTACCCGGTCTGTTGCCTGGGGGTTGGGGCGACTACATTATAGTGTAAAAAGAACTTTCATACGCACTGGGAAACCAAAAAATTCTTGTGACTCGCTTTATTGTGATATTTCGCTTTACTGCAGCGGTCGGAACTGAACCCACAGTATCTCCGAGGTATGCCTGTATATTTTATGTACCTAATTTTCCCCAAGAAGATTTTAAGCACACTTTGTGAAGGTGACTTAGAAGTCAGATCTCTAAAAAGCTCTTTAGCAATAACAACACTTTGAAACATTACAAGAAAATTCAATTTCTCTAAAATCTCGAAGCTTAACTCATGAACTGAGGGCTCTATAAGCTCTGCTTCTCATACTGCAACACCAGGCCCACTGATTCCATCTACTAATTGCTCCTGTTCTTCTCCAACCCCAGACAGCTGCAGTCTGCATTTCTTATTTCATTTCTATCTGGCACATACATAGTCTCATCTCTCTTCTGATCTTAACCCATACCCTCCTAGTCTTGCCTGCCTAACCCAATACTTTTCGGGAAATGGTGATCTTTCTAAAGGGAAATTCTGATCATATTACATAGGAAACACTCAGTGTTTGCTGAAATAATAAATTTACCCCTAAAGTCACAACAGTTGAAGGTATCATAAACGAAGAAGTACTGTTCATTTGGGTAAAAACCCACTGAAATTTCATAAAATAACCTAATACAGAGTACATGACTAGGTAACAGGAAAAAACACAGACCAGAACATTTCCAAGTTACACATCCAGCTGGAAGATTTAAGGCCCTAGTTGAAATTAGCATTTAAAAAAATGTAACAAAAATGTTTTATGATACATAAAATAGGTTTATGTTTTACCTGGTGGGTTAGCCTTTGGGTTAGCAATGGGAGGGAATCTGCCACAAAATGAAATTCATCTGGTGTGATACTCTGGCAGCAATTGGCTGCAATTGCTAGTGCATTCCGTTGGGCATTTATGCTGAAGAACTCTAGATACAGCAAGCAGTCTGCCAAACCACCCTAAAATATAGGAAACTGTTAAAGCCAAGAAATACCCTTTTATCAGCAATTTAAAAAAAAAGCCTACTAAAAGTCTAGCACATCACTTGGAAACAGCATGCGTACCTTACAGAGACTGCAATCTAGGAACTAATACAAATGTGGATCTAAAATCCAACATTAAATGAAATATAGTCCTTCGGTAACAACACTTACCGCCTGTAGAATGGCTTTACTGTGTCTACGTGATAACATCTCCAAGGCCGTCAAGGCCTGCTCTGCCACATCAATACACTGAATAACTTGCAGCTGGGAACATATAAATAGGAAACTTAAGGTTATCATTCAAGTTTTTTACTCATTGCTCATCTTTGCATGAATAAACAACACTTTCTCTAATTTCCATCAATCTATACTGCCTCTAACCTGAAACCTACCATAGGAAACCAGCGATTTATGCGCTTAAGCCAAACACACTGGCAATACTTTTCTTTTCCTTCCAACTACTTTAAAGATATTGAAAAATATGTTTTACATAGAGAATGAACTAAATTCAATTATATAACTTTAAATCTTCATATTTAAAATAAACGGGTTGGTTTATACAACAAATTTTAAAAATCACGTTTTAAACTTTATACCACATTCCAAAGTTATCAGATAATGCAAATTTTACTGTGCTATGACCTTGAGCAAGGCACTTTGTCTGTCTAAGCCTTCTCAGCTGTAAAATGAGGGTATAAATAGCTATCAACCTCACTGGGATGTTTTCTAGAAATAATGAGATTATTTTTAATCAAGTGCTTTAAGTTCTCTGCAAGATTTTATACTAAGGCAGTAACTGCTATTATTAAAAAATTATAATACCAGGTTGATTTTACAAATGCTTTATTAGCATCAACTTTAAACTGCCACTCTGCTAGACATAAAACATTTTTCTGGAACCTTGCCTAAAAAATATACTTTAGTTAGATAATGGATGCTAAAAAATGTCTTTTAATGTGGCCTCACAATTTGATATACTACTTTAGAATTCAACAGTCAAGAGTTCTCAACTTGATTCCCCTATGCCTGCTTTCGAACAAATTGGGCAAAAGTAGGATTACCTTTTCTAAAAAGACAGGAATTGCATCTACTACAACAGCGGATGATCGAGGAAGTGCTTCCATCATGTATGTTAAGGCTCGACAAGCATGGTTCATCTAGAAAAGAAGTCATTTTTACTCAATAAAAACTCAAAATTTAAATTTGGGGTGGTTTTTTAAAACATAGTACATACTTACAATATCAAAATTATGCTCCATCTGCAGTAATGTTATCTGTTTAAAAAGATTATAACAAAGTATTAGAAGCTATATTCTTAGAAGTCCTAGAAGTATTTCTTCTACTTCAACTGAAACAGAACTATATGATCCAAGAATTTTACCATACAAAAATAATATCAAGTTAAAACCTAGCATGCATACACAAGAAATGATTATGCTTAGGAGGGCATGACACATACATTGAAGCACTGACTTGGGATAATCATCATCAATGATCCAGCTCAAACGCAAAGCCTTCCCGCTGCTTACAACCAACCCTCCTGGTGCCTCTATTCCCCCATTCAGAAGCTCATTAACATGTCACTGAGGGCTTAACAGGTGTCAATAAGTACTATACATAAGTAAACAGACCAGCAACGCACTGACATTTGTTAAATTAACAACTATCAGTACAGATTCAATATCATAGCTTAAACTCTTGTAAATTAGCTTCTCTAAAAGTTGAGCGAAGCACCATTTAACTCAGCTGTAAAGTACACGGTAGTATAGGATTTAAACACGATATTGATCACATCAAAAATGAATTATGCGCTAAAACTCAAAGTAATATAATTATTTTACAGATGCATGAGTTAGTCTAAACATCTGATTTTATTTTCGTTTTTCTTGTGGGAAACACCGTAAGCAGATTTTAACCATGTTTTTCAAAGGAGGGGATGCAAAACTACTACAGATATACACTCCATCTTCCTGAAGCAGCCAAAGCTACCAAAGAAATTTCCTACCTGGGGAAAGAGACAATCATTCACTGTCTTCTAGTTCAATGGAAATTTTAAATGCGTTGAATTTAAGCTGTAAAGTACCTTTCAATTAAATGTACGTCAGACATCAGATATCCTAATGCAATATTCATTTAATATGAATGCCTTCTCAGCTCTGAATTATGCTTGGTAAAATATATCTATATACCAGAGTTCCTGATAACTGTTTTTGTTAAACACACAACATAAACACACACACACATGCACAAGCGTGCACACTCTGTCTCAAATCACCTACAAATCAGTCACTTATAAAACACCTACTCTAAATTAAAGTGGTTGTTATGCTAACAGAAAGAGTAATAAGTTCTCCAGTTCTTTAAGGTGGCATGAACCTTGTAATACCACATTTGGGAAGAACCGCTGTAAACAGATTCTTCACCAAAAATGACTGTTTATGGTCACACAGGTGTATGGTGATTGATGTATATATATTTATAATATTCAACTGTGATGAAAGATAAATCTGGACAATTCATTATTAACAGCATGAGCTGACTTGCGCAGGCCTGCCAAGTACTTAAATCTAATCAATACCACCAGCAAATTAAGAAAATTGGATTATGCTAATGTTTCTGCCTAGATTTAACAACTTCTTTATTTAACCAATAAAAACTGCAGTTTAACAGAGATAAGTACATGGTAAACCTAGTCCTTTGTTACTATTTATTTTAAAATGAACGAAAACAAACAAGGAAGTTTAATTCAGGTCATAAAAGCCAGCTATTGAAGAAAACAATAATTTGAGCATGAATATAAACATAGGTAAATGTCAGAGTACAAAGGCTAATACTGCTTTCATGAAACATTAAAAAATTAATATGCGAACCTGTGGAGTGGAACTGGTAAGACTTGAGAGCTAGATTTTGTTACCAGGAGGTCTGCATGGCAGAAGGTAAAGAGACTGCTCTATCCTTTATCACTTCCTGCCAGAGCAGAGCCGTCCAACAAATAAGAACAGGCCGAATAAAGACTATGTCATCTTGTATTTGACTGGTCTTCACTCAGCTCTCTCCGTAACGTGATAATGTGATCAAATGAGACAATCTGATACTCCAATCACAGTTTCATTTTTGTCAACTTTACTAGATGTGTAAACAAAGACTTGAATGACATTTAGCTTCCAAAGTAAAATACACTATGAATGTATATTCATGCTTATGTTAGTCTTTTGTTACTATTTCATTCAGACTTAATTTTAATCTTAAAGTATAGCCAATTTCTTTAATCTAGCATTGAGAAAATTACCAAGCCACTATTTGAAAGATGTATTATGCTCAAGGGCCTACATTTAGTAATGGCAATTTCTCTTCCTGTTGTTTTCACATTAAAAAGCTTAAGCAATTAAGATATTAATAAATTCTAAATACCAACTCACAACTGTGTTGAAAAATCATTAAGATTTAAAAAATTGTTTTTCTATTGTTGAGTACTGTTTTGTTTCTTTTGTTTTTGCTTAACATAAAACCTTTTTTTTTTAGCTGGAGGATCCATGTGGTGTTCTGGCTTGACTGCTCTGCCATGCACACTGCTATCAAGCATGAAACCTTCATGGCCCACAAAGAGAACCCACAAGTGAGCTGCTTGTTACTGTCCTGTGAATCACCAGTTTAAAAGAAAAAAGCATATAAGTTTTGGCATAGTATGTCAAGGTATCACCTGATGGGGCTATAACAACTTAAAATTTAAAACCACGTAGTCATTGAAGTATCAAAGACAGCATAACTATTCATCAGGAAATGGTTTAGGGCTTCCCTGGTGGCACAGTGGTTAAGAATCCGCCTGCCAATGCAGGGGACACAGGTTCGAGCCCTGGTCCGGGAAGATCCCACATGCTGTGGAGCAACTGAGCCCGTGTGCCACAACTACTGAAGCCTGTGCGCCTAGAGCCCGTGCTCTGCAACAGGAGAAGCCACCGCAAGGAGAGGCCTGTGCACTGCAACGAAGACTCAACGCATCCAAAAATAAAATAAAAATAAAAAATAAATTTATAAAAAAAAGAAATGGTTTAGAAATTTTACTCATTCATCATTAAGAGTCATGCACAATCTCTATAAAGCATGAAATAAAATCACTAAGCCACACTCTACTATCTCTTAGTTCTATCCTATTTTAAAATTCTTAATGACAATAATCATGTTTTTTAGTAAAAAAAAAAAAAAAAATATGGGCAGCATTCAGAGGATGACTGAGATAAAACGAGGGGAAGACTCTCTTACCAAAGCTGGAACTACACTCTTGACAGGAAACCCTCCCAGTGTCTCCTCATTTCCCATGACCAATAATTGACACATCTCAATAACTGCCTGGAGTTGTTGGCTTTCATCGCTTGCTTGTAGTCCTTGCAGAAGCTGCTGGGCCTTAGAACCTTCACATGGAAAAAAAAAATCATTATTTTTAAACACTTAGTATTATTACTAGGTGTTAAGTGTTACTTTACATGCTGGCTGCTTTTCTTCTTTGGATCCCAATTAAAGGCTAGGTCTATACCAGTGTTAAGACAGGCTGCTGATTATCCAAGACGTAACTATGGAAGAGTAAATCCAGGTAATTTAAAGTAATGCCACAGTTATTTATATTTTTGTCTTTTAAGTTTTATCTTTTTAAATGAGAGAAGTTGATTGGTATTTAACAGCTGAAACAAAAATTAATATCCATAAGACTAATATGAACTGCTACCTTTAACATACATGCTTTCAAAAATATGTGTATCTAGCGAGCAGAAAACCTTCTGCAATAATAAAAACCTGGCAAACAATGATGCCCAGGCATCAAAGGAAATGTTATATACCTCTAAATACCTCCATCAGAATAAACGGAATCCAAGTAACAGTGAAAAGGGCAAGGAAATAGACAAACAGAACAGTGCATCTAACAAAAGGGAATGAAAAGAATGAAATATTTTCTAAAAACAGCAAAAGACTGGCCTTTTCACCTCCTCTCATTTCATGTGCAGATGCTGCTATCATAGCGCTTTAGAGTACTTCTACTTTTAAGGGTCAATTCCATTGCCCAAACATTTGAAAAATGCTAAGGCTCAACTACCACAATAAATAAGTTGTCAATAAACCGAGTAAGACACTCAAAAATAAAGTCTACAAAATGTGTTTCAAATTTTCCTGGACACCCTCCTTCTTGTAACCATGATCAACTCCATTAATGCTTATAAACTTATACCTGAGATTACTTTCAAGTCCTTTCCCTTCTGAGACCTTTTCAGTTTATTGTTTGTATTGTTTGGATTTTTTCCATTAAGTACTGAAATGCTTAGAAATGATATATGTTTGGAAACTGTCAATAAATGTGGAATTCATATGAACATCAAAAAAAATTTTCCCCTATTAAGCATCAATGATCTTCTGGGAGGGCATAAACCTTTCAAAGGGATACACAATAATCCTGACAAGGTCTGTTTTCTCTATTATTTAAGGCTGTGGCTAATGAACTGCATAACTATCACTGCCTAACTCCCTTTACCATAATTAAGAGTCTGTCCAAAAATACACTGCAAGGCATTCAAGTTCAAAGGGACAGCATCTTTAAAGTTTTCAAACTAAATACTATCAGCTCCAGTTAGGGCAGGCTTAACATTTTTGGGTTGAAATAATGTGGAAGGAAGAACAAAATGAAGGGAAAGTAACTATGAAAACAAAAGAGTCTTCAGCTGCTTCTAGATTTGCTTTTAAAGAATGAAATAGTTCAAACAGAGTATACCCTAATAACAACCACCAAAAATAGGAAAAACTGACGCAAGTCGTTGGATGCTCTATCAACACTGAGGCTGGCAGGTCTAAGCACATGGATCATTTCAGCATGCTCAAACAAATCACCATGAATACCACTGGACTTCTGGGATGTCCCTAAAAGGACCTTAGGTCAAATGACAACAAAAAGTCACTGCCATTATTTTCCTCTGACATGTGAAGAGAAACCACCTCATACAGATCAGTCAGTTTTGGTTTTAAGGGTAATTTTATACTCCTGAAAATTACTGAGACCCAGTGTGTGTGGTTTAGATCTACTGTTATTTATAAAATGTGTCTGTAACTAAAAGAGAAACATTTTGAAATTCTTGGTTAATGCATTACATATTAATATAAACAAAAACCTGTGAAAAAGATCACAATTTTCCAAAACAACAGCAACAAGATACAGTGGCGAGTAGCACTGTTTTGCTGCTGTTGTTGCAAACGGCCTGAGCGTGAGGCTGAATGAGAGAGCTGCGCGCTCACCCTGCTCCCTCTTCCAAGCCGAGAAACTAGCTTACGAGAGACAGAGCGTGTGGAAAAACGGGCCTACTCTGCCACAAAGACTATTTAAAAGACATGGATGCGTTAGTAACGACAAAATTAATGACTTTGTTCTGGAAGCGCATGCTTATGTAAACATGGAGTTTTTTACTAGGACCATGTGACACTGAAAAATAAAATACCTGCCAGTGGTCTGGTGCCACTGCCTTGACTCTAATTAAGGCACCAGCAGTTTTACACCCACAACAGCTTTTGCACTTTTAGTTCAAACATGAACAAAGTAGAAAAGGAAAGACCTTAGTAGTTATTATCAGTCTTGGCCTTATGAATTCAATGTAAGGATCTCAGGAACTAGCTTGGAATTTACAGGCCACACTCTGAAAACCACTATTATACATCAGGGGTTGGTAGGCAAACATCTTCTATAAAGAGCCCGAGAGTAAATATTTTGGGTTCTGCAGACCACAAGGTCACTGCTGCCACTACTCGACCCTGGCACTGTGGCACAAAAGCACACACAGCCAATAAATAACCCGAGCATGGCTATATTCCAATCAAACTTCTTTTTCAGACACTGAAATTTGAATTTCATTTAATTTTCAAGTCACAAAACAATTTTTAAACTTTTTCAGCCATTTAAAAAGTAAATATCACTTTTAGTTCACAGGCTATATCAAAACAAAGAGGAGGCCGATTTGGCCCTTGGGCAGTAGTTTGCCAACTGCTGATACAGAGAGAAAGAGAACCCACAGCCTTTCAGGGAATCACAGGAGGCTGATGTGTTCAACTGAATCGACCCCACTGGACATTTGCTGAGTTCCGAAGCTGTGAAGAGGGCTGGGGGTTGAGTCAGAAGTTTTGGTAAGACAACAGTGAAAACTCCTGCAGTCTTAGGGTGCTCAGAGGACAAAGTCCCCACAAAGGAGGCCTGACTCATACACAGCCAGTGCCCTGCCTTCAAGACATCTGCCACACTGTGAAACTGCATAAAGAATAGAAAGTCTAAGTAGACAGACTTGCAAGGTTCTCAATCAAAAAAAAACCCTGGGAAAGTTCCCTGGTGGTCCAGTGGTTAGGACGCTGAGCTTCCTCTGCCGAGGGCCTGGGTTCAATCCCTGGTTAGGGGAACTAAGATCCCACAAGCCACACAGTGCAGCCAAATTAAAAAAACAAACAAACAAACAAAAGCAAACACACACACAAAAAACCCTGGTAGGTTCACAACAGAGAAACACGGATGAGCTAGAGGTGAAATGAGTCATAAAAAAATTATAACTCGGTCAAAACAAGCTAAAGCCCTGACTAGAGCAAAGTTATCAGCTTCTGACCCTTTAACACAGAAAAAGAGGAAACACTCACTGGTAGAAAACATCACTTGGGGTCTCTTCCGTTCACATAATTAATTACCAGACATATGAAGAGGCAGAGGAATATGTGACTAACAATCAAAAGGGGAAAAAAGACAATAGAAGCAGACTAACACCCCTAGAAATTATAAAGTAAGTATTCTATAACTATGATTAATAAATTGAAAATATAAGCATGGATGGACAAAATGGGTAAGAATGTAAAGAATTTCAACAGTGGGACTTCCCTGGCGGTGCAGTGGTTAAGAATCTACCTGCCAATGCAGGGGACACAGGTTCAGTCCCTGATCCAGGAAGATCCCACATGCCACGAAGCAACTAGGCCCGTGTGCCACAACTGCTGAGCCTGTGTTCTAGAGAACGCAAGCCACAAAAACTGAGCCCATGTGCCACAACTACTGAGCCTGCACACCTACAGCCCATGCTCTGCAACAAGAGAAGCCACCTCAATGAGAAGCCCGTGCACCGCAACAAAGAGTAGCCCCTGCTCACGGCAACTAGAGAAAGCCCGCGCGCAGCAACGAAGACCCAACGCAGCCATAAATAAAAATAAATAAATAAATAAATAAATAAATAAATAAATAAATAAATGTAAAGAAAAAAAAGAATTTCAACAGAGAATTGGAATCTGCTTTTAAAAATCAGAGAACTGTCTAGAACTGGAAAACAGAGTATATGAAATTTAAAATTCATTGATGAGTTTAACCAAATACTGAAGAAGACAGCAGAAAAAAGAATTAGTGAATTTGAAATACAGTCAACAGAAAGTTTTCAAACTGGGGGGAAAATAAAAACCTGGGAAAAACAGAAACAAAAATAGAGCTAGAGAGACATGGTAGATCAAGTCCAAAGTCTGAACATGTACAATCTTGATACTCCCAGAAGAAAAGGAAGGAGAATATCTGAAGAGATAATGAGATAAGTGAAACAATATATGAAGACATAACGACCAACAATCTTCCAAAGCTGATGAAAGTTATCAACTCAGAGATTCAAAGGCTCGGTGAAACCCGAGCAAATTAATAATGAAAGAAAATGTCACACAGGCCTAATATAGTCAAATTATTAAAAATTAATAATGGTTTGAAAAAGCAAATCTCAAAAGAAGCTGGGAGAAAAGAACTGCCTTGAAAGGGTAACAGTAAGACTTTTAAACAGAAACTATGGAAACCAGAAGAGCATTAAAAAGTACTAATATGAGATTTTATACCTGGGGAAACTACCTTTTAAAAATTAAGGCATAACACATATATATGGAATCTTAAAAAAAAAAATGGTTCTGAAGAACCTAGGGGCAGAACAGGAACAAAGACGCAGACGTAGAGAATGGACTTGGAAGGAAGTGAGAGAGTGGCGTTGACATATACACACTACCAAATGTAAAATAGCTAGCTAGTGGGAAGCAGCCGCATAGCACAGGGACATAAGCTCACAGGGACAACAGCTTGGTGCTTTGTGACCACCTAGAGGGGTGGGATAGGGAGGGTGGGAGGGAGACGCAAGAGGGAGGGGATATGGGGATATATGTATACATACAGCTGATTCACTCTGTTATACAGCAGAAACTAATGCAACACTGTAAAGCAATTACACTCCAATAAAGATGTCAAAAAAAAATTAAGGCAAATCAAGGATTTCTCCAACAAAAGCAGAGAGAAATCATTACTAGCAGTCACTCACTGTATAAAAAAAGTTCTTTCAGCTGAAGGGAAACAATCCTGATAGAAGAAAGGGACTTCAGGAAAGAATTA